TTCAGAAGGCAAAGAAGTCAATGGTTTTCAGTGAGGAATATCTTCTATGTCTCACTACCAAAGTTGATTTGGCAAGAGAGGCAGAGAGAGGAAGAGCAGGGTTGGGCTGGGATTGGGGTGCAGGGGAGGTGAAGCACCAGAGGACGATCATCAGGTCCGAGTGGGAGGCAACAGGCAGGTGTCTAGGGAGGAGGTGGCAGCACTAACCCTCGCGCTCTCCCTGCATAAGGTTTCACCATACAGAAGAAGTCAAGGTGGTTGGTGGGGTATGATGTCAAGGGTTCTGTTTCCTGAGCACCTACTATGTGCCAGGTATTTTGCCAAGATATCCTTTTATTTTCAATAGCTCTGTGACTTAATGACACTCCCTGTGTACAGATAAGGAGGGTATTGATGGGACTATCCTCCTGCCAGGGAAGGCCCTCAGCAGGTGTGATTATCAGTCATCACTGGGTGCATCTAAGAAGGGCTCTCCTCACCATCAGTCCTTGTAGGCTTCAGGAAAAAAAAAACAACAAAAAACCCCACAAGAGCAATTAATACCCTGAGAAGGACTGGCAAGATTCCTTACCTGGAGGCAGAGAGATCAATGATACGACCTTCACGTGTCTTCCAGAACAAGAAGGAACTTTAGGGTTTCCTTGAAGAACGTGTTTTATGCTTGGGGAGGGGGTTGTGGTCTCAGCTAGAGACCAGGCCCTTCTTCCCTGAGTTGCAGACCCACAGAACAGCCCATTGACTATGAGATAGTCCCCCCAACCCTGACACCCCTATACTAAGCAAGCGCTGTCCCTCGTCCCTGCCCCAGACTGTCTTGGTTAATAATCTTTGTAATTCAGTGACTCAAGCCACACACCTAAGAGGCTTCCCAAGGCCCTTCTCTCCTTCATCCTCCCCCACCCTCCTGCCACCAAATCCAGTTAGTCCCAAGTCCAGCGTGGCGTACCGGGGAACGGCTCTCCTGGTCTGTTTCCCCCTCACCGTCTTCCCTCCTTCGGGTGAAACTCTGTCCCTGGACCCAGGGTTCTCAAAGACTCCTAACCGTCCTGTGATTTTCATTTTCAAGCACAGATCTTTAATGAAAAGCTCCTCATGTCACCTCTCTTGCTCAGAACTTCTGCTCACCCCTCACCTCGGACGGTGGTGGCAAGCTTGGTTTCCCCAGGCTGTCCCCAACTGGACCCCACCTGGCTTTTCAGTCTCAGGCCTCAGTGACCCTCCACCGCTCACCCTTGCTCCAGGTGGCCGGCTGCCTGCAGCTGGGCAGAGCCATTCTGTGAAGCTATGAGCTGGAAGGCCACCACCCCCACCCTGCATAATCTGTGAGATTCTTCCTGGTGGCACTGACATAGTCGCAGACAAAGCGTAAATGACCAAGCAGAGCTGTGTTCTAAGAGACCTTCTTTAGGGACATTTGAATTTGAATTTTGTACAATTTTCACTTGTCATGAAATATTATTCTTTCTTTTGATTCTTTTTGACTCCTCAGCTGTTTAAAACTGGGAGACCACTCAGCATGCGGGCATCTCAGAAACAGGTGGAGGGCTGTGTTGGGGCTGGGGTCTGTGCATGCCTAAATTTTTGTGTTTCCTTAGATTTGGCCTTTTTCTGTCTCTCTGGCACCTTTTTGAGACTCGCCTTTAAGTCTTGGACTTTTTCTTGCTCCTGTTTTTTTTTTTTCTGTCTTTTTACAAGTCCCCACAGTCACGCTAATTGCCCCTTTATCTCTGGTCCTAAAACTCTTAATCGCCATAATTGCAGCCCTTATCACTCTGCACAGAGCCTGCAGATTGGCATCTGTGCCTCTTTAACCTGTTCTCTTTGAGAGCAGCGAGGGCCCGCTAGTGTCCGTCATTCTATGCTGTCACAGGGAGCGTCACATCGTTGCTCGTGGAACCCCATAGCCTAGGTGCTGACAGCAGGGGAGGGAGACTCAACTGGAAGTCAGATCCCCTGGGACCCTGTGCCACTGGGTCTACACACAAAGTCCCCTGCGCTGTGCCTGGACTGAAAGAAGAATGGGATGTGCGCGGTTGTAGGTCATTTATCTTTTTTTTTTTTTAATTTAGTTTTTGTTTCCCTGAGGGGGGAAAAATCCATCAATACAAATTAGGGATTGGTAATTATTAGCTTGGAAGGACCATAAATCATGTGAGTCTCTAATGCCTAAAGCTGAGCCTGGGTGAAACTGACCCCAGGCTGATGCTTCTCCACTGCCCCTCCAGGTCCATCCTGCACACTCCTCCATTGCACTGTATCTCTGAGGCTGATAGAGGGCAAAGGAGCCACTGGCACCCCCACCGTCCTCCCAGGGCAAGGAGCACGGCCTCTGACCCCTGCTCCTCACTTCTTGTTTGGTGGGCAGGTGGAGCATGGCAAGATGGAGGGAGAGATCCCAGGGGCCCTCCTCCTGCGCTGGCCACACATTCCCCTGGCTCTAACTCTTGCCACTGGGTCCTGTCCCCTCTAAGCCTAGTGTTGGCAAAGACCTGCTGTTTGGTCCTGGGTGGGGACCTTCCCATCCCTATGGGTTCCTTGAACCCCACCCTCACCTGTAAGTTGCCCCTTCCCGAAACTCTTATCAGCTAAGCCATGAAGCACCACCCAGCCCACCATGTTCCTGCGCTGAGGGCGAAGACCCTTCCTCCGGTGGTCGCCAGTGCTTGCTAAATGCTCACGGTACCTCCTTGCACTAGGCACCGGCCACCTGGAAATCACTAGAAAAACTAGGTTCTGGGGGAGGATCACGTCTTAACACAATTACCGCATTAACCGTGTACTAATCATGTGTCAACCGCGCAGTCACCAGGCACTTCAGGTCCAGACTGACACCGCCAGGGGCCAAACTGGGGCTTTGACACCCTGAGACCTTGAACCCTCAGCACTCTCTCTAGGGCTCTTTGCTCATCTGTTAAATGGGGCACCCACTGACTGCAGGAGCAACATCATCAATGGTGACGCCCACAACCAAGGAAGCCCCTCAAACACGGGCACACACTGGTACGAAACCCCCATGGGGTGTGTGGGAGGGGCCTGGGTGGAGGGGCTGGGGCCTGACCTCAGTGAGGACATGAGCGCTGAAACAGGGTTCTTCAGCTTGAGGGGTGTTCCCTGCTGTGAACTTGTGAAATGAGTTTAGAGGTTATAAATTTAGCATAAAAAATGGGAAAGAAATGTTCAGGGTACATCACACTTAGTAAGGGTTAATTGCCCTTCATGACATTTTACCCGTAGTTCTATGGATGCGTGTGTAAACTGCACTGTGGGGAAAGCATGTATTTAAATGTATATAAATAGAAATACTATGTGCATGCTGTGGTGGGGTGAGACAGCTCAACACAGTTAAAGAGCCAACAGTCAAACAGGAAAAGGAAGCCCCTCTCCTGGGTTAACCTAGCAGATGGCCCCGTGATTCTGCAGATGAACTTGCATGCGTGTGTGAGTGAATGCAGGTTTTCCCGGGGGCTATGTGATCTCGGGCTAGTGATTCGACCTCTGTGGGTCTCCACTGAAAAAAAAAAATGGGAACAAAACCTCATACACCACCGTGCTATGGGAGGGACGTATGGGGCCAGCAAGCACGGGTGCTCGGCCTGGGGCCTTGCACACAGTAGGTATGCAATTCCTGAGGCCACCTGGTCTGCCATCGCCTGACCTCCCTTTGCCTTAACCTACTACAATGACAAACGGAGCCACCCCCAGTGCTCCCCATGCCCAGCACTTCTTTAATCAGAAGAAACTGTAACATTCAGTTCTGCCTTTTTCTCTTCTGGAAAACACGACAGAAAGATTCAGACAGGTGCTTCCCTCCCACAAAAGCCCAGCCCGGGCAGAGGACAAACGTCTCCAAGAAAGCTCTCGGGCCAGGCTTTGTTAAGCACCACAGACCAAATGGGGTTCTTGTTTAATTTTTTTAGATGTTTCAAAGGTGTCCCCTACTCCAGGCTAAGTGAATGAGGCCACTCACAAGAGGTGCAGGTTCTGAAGATGACACTTCTGCCTCCAGCGACACTTTTAGCCCAGGGACGTTGGAGAGGGGGCTCTGCTCTGCCTCAAGCCACCTCCTGGTGGGACAGAAGGCCCTGGGCTTTGGAGCTCCAAGGCCTCATATAAGGCCTTAAATTAATAGATGCCCCGTAGAAATGCATTGTCAAATCTACGAAAACCACCATCAGCCTGTGACTGGTAGCAGTTAAAGGGTCAACGAGCACGCGAGGAGACCCACCCTTGGTGTTGGTAAATTTTGAGTATTCGGGTTGGAAAGGAAGTCCTCTTCTGTCCCCCCTGCATCCCTGTGTTTCTGGATCACCTCCAGCTGCAGAGAGCTCCCTGCTTCTGGGTTAGTCCGCTCCATTTTCTCGGTGGCTCTGGGGTTAGGAACTGCGTCATTATTGACATCGAAATGTGTTTACCTGCAGTCTCACCTGCCACTCCTGGTGTGATCTGTTGCCACCTGACAGCTCTTCCCAGATCTGAGCATGTCAGCGACAACGCTCCCTAAAGTGATTTTGCCTGTGTTTTTAATATACTAGCTTTCTCAGTAAAGTGAAGAAAGAATGGAAATGTGGGACGCTCCCCAACTTTGTATGGAGGTGGGTTAAAGGTCGGTGGATAAGGTGGGGGGTCCTCTGGCTCCCAGGCAGCAATTCAGATGGCCTCGGGGAATTGGCTGAGCTTCTCAGCTCCCTTCCCCCGGGTCAGGAGACCGTACCTACCTGGCCATGTAATGCTGGGATCAAATGAGAAGATGCCTGTCGGGGGCCTGCACTGTTTCTGGCTCCTAGGTGGCATTCGTATTAAAGTCCCCATTAGCCTGGCCTGAAGAGGGGCAGCACAGGCTACCCTATTCAGAAAGTGTCACTCCCTGGTGCACAAGTCTCCAAAGGCAGAGGCGTGAGATGCAGAGGTGAGGGGACAGTCCATAGACCCAGTTTGGGGGCAGGGTGAGGCCCAGTAGAGACTGTCAGGGGGAGGAGGCCAGCGGCCCGGGCCCTGCCTACCTTGATACTGGGCGCTGAAGCCCCGCTGCCGGTGGTTGCCATCCGCCGTGAAGTGCAGCCGCAGCCAGTTCTTGCTGCTGATGACAGGGGCTGGGAGGCTGGCTCCGGTGAACCTGTGGGGACAGGACACAGCGGGTCAGGGATAGAGCCAGGTGGGACAGGGCAGGCGTCCAGGAGTGGCCCTCTCCTCCGGCCTGCCAGGCTCAGCCAGCCCAGGAGGGTGCTGCATGGCCCCAGGTGGCCCCCCAGCAGCCTGGGGCCTGAGGGTTTCTTCTCCAAGGACTCATTTCCCCGAGGGTCCCTGAGATGCCCAGAGCAGGGGCTGACCCTTCAGGCCGGGAGCAGAGGGTCAGCACTACCTCTGCGTCCCCCCTAAACATTCCACGCCCTTCCTTCTTCTGGGTCTCCTGCTGGGAGCCATTAGCCAAGTAGGTATGACAATTTCCTTGCCAGCGTACCCCATGTTGCTTAGTGGAAGGACTCCTGGAAATAGGACATTTTGCAGTGACATTGCATCTAAGGTGACCTTGCTCAAGGACCAGGGCGGATCCGGGTTTAGGGTGTTCCCGGTTTAGGATAATCCGGGTTTAGGGTGTTCCCGGTTTAGGACTATCCGGGTTTAGGGTGGTTCCAGGTTTAAGGTTATTCCTGCTGGGAATAGGGCGTATCCTGCTGCCTGAGTTCCCCTTGAGTTCTCACGGGATTCAGACAGTATTTTTTGGGAGACAGAAGCCCAGTGGGGGTGAATTTGGGCAGAGAACGTGGATTTCCCCAGAACGTGTTTGTAGACGTCTGGTGTGAGTTCGGGAATAAAGAGTTGCTGTTTGAATCTACAAGCTGTGTGGTGGCTCGTGATTTGGTGCCCAGCCAGACTTCGGCAGTCTCCGTCCCTTTTCTGCCTGGAGTAAATCCCCCGAGGTCTGGGACCCTCCTCCTGCATTGTCCACACACCTGAGGGAACCCCAGGGCCCCCTTCGCAGCACCCCGGGAAGCCTTCCTACCCCTCCCTCCCTGCTGTGAAGGCACACAGATGTCTGCTCAGATCCAGGCTTCCCCTGTGTGACCTGGGACCTGCTCCTTAACCTCTTTGAGGATGAGAACAGCACCTGCCCCAGAGCCGTCAGGATGGGAGGAGATATCGAAGGGGCAGGCGCCTGGCCCCCAGTCTGGCACACATGAGCTCACACCTTAATTTTTGCCTTCCAGTCCTCTCTGCTGCCACAGCAACTTAATTGAGTTCTCATCCAGTTCCTCGGGTGTGTGTCTCCCTGGGATCATCCCGCAAAGGGGTCGCAGAGCCCAGGGGGAGGCAGCTCAGGTCCTGCAGGAATTTGCTGTGTGACCTTAGAGAAATCACCTAAACCCTCTGAGACTCAGGGACCTTGTCTATAAAGTGAGGACCATCATCAAGGATCCAGTGGCTGCACCCCTGGTGGGAGCAAACTCTGGTGCCACCTGCTGCAGTTTGATTCTTTGTCTTGGTCCCCACGTCAAACCTAACACTAGGCAGCTCAGGGTACAGCAGAGAGAAGGTGCCACTGTCACAGGAGTGACTCCAGGGGTCTGATGAATGACTCAAAGATGAGGGCAGGCTGTAGAGAAACCACCAGGGTGGGGACAATATCCTGGGGGACTCCTCTTCCTGGAATAGAGAGAAGAAGAAGAAATAGCCCCAATACAGGACGGCATGGCAAAACTCTGCACAGCATCCAGGTCTTCAGCGGGCTAACCCCATCAGGAGGGAGCAAAGAATGAACTCACTCACTCTTTCCTCCTCCTCAAATCTCTTGCTGATGCTCCTGTTGATCTAGTCTAATAGAAAGCCAGAGGGAAAGGGGGGAATTCTGAGGTTTACCACAGGCCCATCTCCCCACGCATGGAGGGTAGAGAAAGCAAGGGAGAGGATCTGGAGGAGCAGGAGGCAGAGGTCTGGCCAAGTGGATCTTCATAAATATGTAGTAAACAAAAGACTTCACCAAGGAGTTTCACACCCTGCAAAACTGAATTGTTACTATAATGAAATCGCTGACACACACCAAACTCTAGGAATATAACCCACAGTGCTAGGGTGAGAACTATTATAGAAACCAATTACTGTATTTCACCGGATCCCATTTAAAATAGTTTATTACAGGGTGAGTCATTTAAGTTTTCTAAGGAACCACAAATGATATTGTGGGCTTCTTTTTTCCCCCCAGGCCAAATTCAATTCTATCTCAATGACAAAGTTTGGAGGTGATTTGCATACAGGAAACAGAAATAGGAGAATTTTCCTGAATAATTCAGAACCAAAGGCTCTTTACTGCCAAATGGAATGAGGTGGGGTGGAGGTGGGGTGCTGGGGTCTCAAGAGCAAGGTGAGATTAATGAGGGAGATTGTAACTGGGAATCAGCAGGACTTCCCCAGCTCCTGAGACCAGGTGATGACTTTAACCAGGTCGCTTTAACTTGAGAAACCCTGAGAGCATCTCCCACCTCCAGTCTCTCCCACACCTTTCTGGCTCTCAGGAATTCCCCAGAGTGTTCATTTCCAAGGTTAATCTCCCAGGACCCTAGGCATCTTTCCTCTGTACTGTCCCCACATCTGCAGGCTTCCGTGTTGAGCATTTGAGAGTTTTCTTGACTCTCAATAGGCAGGACCTCAGCAAACTTGGCCACCGAGATGGTGTCAGACTTTGCTCCAAATCCTGCAATAGGGGGACCTGCCAGTGTGTGGGATGGCACGGGGACACTGAGAGGCCTCACACCGAGCACTGGGAGGACGGAGGGGTACACAGGGTGACTCCGTTCACAGGGACACTGGAAAAGACTCATGGTGGGGCAGAGAGAGGTTGGGGGTGCTGGGGGTCAGGGGAGCAGGTAGGCTGGGAGGGAGTTCAAGAGGGCCCTGGAAAGATTCCATGTCTTGAATGAAATTCGAAAATATGGTAGGTACAGCATTGTCAAAGCCCCAAAGAACTGTACATTTACAATGGGCGATTTTATTTTATGTAAATTATAACTTAATAGAGTTAATTGAAAATAAAACAAAGCAAAATGAGTCTTCAGTGGCTCTAATAACTCAGAGTAACTTAGGTTGACCTACAAGGCCTTTAAAAAAGCCAGTTGCCCTCCATTCTCCTGCCTCCTCCTCTTTTATTCTCTTTATTCTTTAGGCTCCAGCCATGTGGGACTCCTTGCTGTTCAATACTGGCCAGGCCTGCTCCCGCCTCAGGGCCTTTGCACATGCTGTTCCTGCTGCCTGCTACTCTTGACTTTTCTCCCAGACCTTCAGCTGCCTCACCCTCTTTTCTTCCTCCAGGCCTTTGATCAAATGGCACCTTCTCAGTGGAGCTTGCCTGGTCTGACACCCATCTGTCTTTTCATCTTGAGTGTGCACACACAGACAGTGTGCACACATGTGCACACAGTTCTCTAGTCAAACAGAAGAGTTTGGTCCTGGAACACACGCTGCTTTTCTGAGCTTCTCTGCTTTTACCCTTGCTGCTCTGTGTGCCCTTTCCTGCTGCATCCTCTGGCTGCAGAGAGAGGTAAGGAAACTTCCTCAAGGTCACACAGCTATTCAGTGGCAGAGGTGGGATTCGAACCCAGGCCAACCCACTCAGGACCCAGGAACTGAGCCATTGCATTAGAGTGTCACCTATAGGCAAACACAAAGGGAGGGCGGCAGAAGCATTGAGGCTGAATTCCTTCCGTTCTGTTCCTGTTCTTTCCCTCCTTCTTCCCCACCCCACCAGGATCCTCTTTAATTTTGCTCCCTCTTAGAATCGTAATTAAAGGAGAGAAACACAAAGAGAGATTCTCCCCTTCAAACCTTTCTGTCCACATTAACTTCACTATGGGGGGCCTGGGGAATTCCAAGTTCGCCCAGTAAATTGCTGTTGCAGTACAACATAAAATGTATTTAAGCAATTACACTCAATTTTTTTTTCTTTTTGGTAAATTGACTTCCATTAAATGGGGCTTCATTAATGGAATCTGGCTAGGGGAGAATCAAAATAAAAGTCGCTCCGTTTAATGCCTGTGGCTGATTAGGGAAGTCGTGGCTCTGAGTTCCTCAGCACAAAGCTCTGAGCCTTTCTCTTGCTAATGGGAAGGCTCAGGGCGGACTGCGTGGGGAGCCATCCATCTCTTCTTAGAAGCTTTTTGTGCAGTCGGGATTTGGGGGTGCTAGGAGACACTCCCCACATGATGACCATAGGGACTCTCAAGGAATTGGAGAGAAAGGAGATCATGGTTTAAATCCTGGCATCCCTGGAAACTGGCAGCCTCTGGACAAGGTTCCTTCATGCACCGGCCAAGCCAGAGTGTGCGAGGGCTCTGAGCTTCCTGGACCTGTGGAGTCCCCGGAATTCTGTCACCTCAGATCCCAGCTGTGATGCACCATTCTCCGTGCAGGGTCCACTCCTGGGTCAATGGCATCTGGCTTCATGTCCCGAGAGCCTCCATGGGAGATGTCCCCCAACTAAGCCACGCACACAGCCCATGTGGGACTCAGGGGTGAAGCTCCCTGCATTTTGGTGCTGAGCTCACCCACCCCTCCGTGCCCGAGGATGCTGGGGGGATGGAAGACAGGGGAGGGAGGCTCTCGCTGCCCTTTCGGTGCTCCCAAGCCCTCTTCCCTTCTCACCAGCCACCAGGGTTGGACAGGACCCCAGGGTGCAAGCAGGGAAGCCCTTGGGTCTTGGTCAGTGGTCAGCCAAGGGCACCAAGGTCCTTATAGGAGACTGGTTCCTGCTCCTGCCCCTGGCCAAGCTACCTCTGCTCCCTGCAGCAAACCTTTGTCAACTCCGTGCTGACACCTGGTCTCAGCACAGTGATTTCCATGATCACCTTCCGACAGCAGGTGCCTGGGTTCTATGTGTGACGACGAGCCCTTTCCCAAGACAACCCAAGATGTTAGACGGGTTTCAGAAACTCGTGCAGACCTCTAGGAGGCCAGGCCCTGGGAGTGGGAGCCACAGCTCCCTCAGCTCTGGCCTTTGAAAAGGGCCCCTTGGCCTCCCCAGGCTCTTCCCCAGAGGCACCTGCCCGTACCTTCATGCAGGCAGCCCCCGGGGCCTGGGATCCCGATAAAGACTCAACTCCAGGCTACCTGGGGTGGACGTGGGGT